TACATATATATATATATATATATATATATATATATATATATATATATATATATATATATTTTAATAATTCATTTAATGTTTGCGGTTGAATAAATGAGTATCAAATAAAAATAATAAAACTAGCATCAAATTAATTTATGATGCTCAATTTTAATGTTTGGCCATTGGAGTTGCGAACCTATCTCAAATAACCCCTTTAGTCTATTAGGATTCTCAGTTAGAATAGAATTTTGGATTTATTATTTAGATAGATAATTAATTGTCTTCATTATGGAAAAAGGAATTCTAAGATTTTATCATCTTTAAATAACTTTAATTTCTTGTGTTAGAATTTAATTTGTTCAATTATAATTTCATTTTTGAATTTCGAAAAGATGATATATTGCACTACTAAAATGATGGAGACTAGAGATTACATACATATAAAAACGACTTCACATTGTTTTTTCTTAAATCTTGTTAAGACTTAAGACCTGAATTTATTTATTTTTCTATGCCGGTTTGTTTGATTATTGTTGAATACGCGTATATTATGTCATGTTTTTCTATACCAGTGTGTTTGATTTTTATTTTTTTTATTTATTTATTTTTTCTATATTTTTTTTTTAATGTTTTTTTTAGTGTCATGTTTTTCTATGCCGGTGTGTTTGATTATTGTTGAATCCACATATATTTATGTCATATTATTCCGCAGTTGTCATATTACAAGAATATATTGATTGATTGATTCTTGACTTGAAAAATAATTATTCTAGTCTTAATTTCTGACCATATCTTTTTTGTTTATTATACTTTTGAATGTAGCTAATTAGTCATTTCTTGATTTCAAGATTTTTTCTCCACCTTAGTCAGTTTCCCAAGGCAAGAAAGAGATTTTTTAGTGTATACTTTTATACTCCAACATACATGAGTCTTGTGTTTATTAGTCGTTACTATGTTATTTGTTCAATTTTGACTTAGAAATTTCCATTTCACATTGGCTTCTAAAAAACTTCCTCAGACCCGAAACCGACCCGTTTGGTGCAGGTCTGAGTAAGTTAAACGGTTCTGGATCGCTTAATGAGTTTTAGTTTTTAGAACCGCATTGTTTTGGGTTAGCTTACGGGTCTTATTGATACCGATCTAAAACACACATGTATAAATACATTATGTTTTAACAATTAATATGGGTAAAAAACATAAAATCCCCTTGTGTTAATGAAAACATGCGCCAAATCTCGCCTGTGTTTTTTGTCTAGCGTAAAAACCTCTTGTGTTTTATTTTACTTTGCACGAAATCTTTTTTTTCCGTTAAAAGTTAACGCCTTTAACTATAGATGGGATTTTATGCAAAAAAAATTCATAAAAAAGGGAGATTTAGTGCATGGTTTTGCAACATAAGGGTGGTCTACGCAAAATTAATTTATTCATTTAAAATTCAAATTATTTTCTTAAATTAAGTTGAATAGATCTATTAATTTAAAATATGAAAATTAAGAAAATAATACTCGATGAGATAGAAGTTGAAACGAACTCTCAAATTATTTATGTTCTTTAAACACATAATTAATCAAGAATAAATTATATAAATATATAATAATTCTAATAAATGAATTATATAATTTAAAAAATCAAAATTTATACATTAATAAATTATATCATATAAATTATATAAATGAATTATATAATTTGTAGTAGGTGTGGAAGGGATCACATTGCTTTACTGTATGGTCTTTTTTCGAGACAAGTACGAGCACTTAGTAATATTCCTTGGACAGTTTATAGGTGGCTTGGGACAACCCTGAGCGATTGGTTATTGCACACAAAAGAAGTCGTTAGAATCGGGCGGTTTGAGAAGTGCATGATTACTTGTTGGGAAATATGGTTTTCCCGTAAGCGACATATTTCGACGAAGAGTCGTTGGATGCAATGAAGGTGATGATGTTTGTTTACAAATTTGTGCAGCAGTTGCGACACCCCAATATCCTTAAATCTAGTATTTCAAGGAGACATGTTGAGATAAAATGGCTACTTCCAAATATGGGTGTCATTAATTAAGGTTAATTTTGATGCCGCCATTAATTCAAAGAAATTGTTGGCGTTGGCATTATTGCAAGAAATTAATAACTTGAAAGACTGTGTGAGATGGTCATTGGTATGTGTTCGACAACCTCTAGATCCTACCTCAGCAGAAGCAGAAGCAGAAGCAAAAGCAGCTTTCCTTGCGGTGGAATTTGCTCGCAAAAATGAATGGAGAAAAGTAATTATCGAAGGCGACTCTAGTCTGGTTATTATGGCGATTGAAGACGTTGGAAGCGAACGATCGACTTACGGAAATCCTCAATGTTCGGTTCGAAATCCTCAATGATAAAAATTGACAGTTGAAAGTCCTGGGGGACGCCCCAAAATCATATTAACTATGGGGTTGAAAATCCCGGAGGTGATCGGCCGAGCTCTTAAACCGAGCCGACTCCCGGAACATTATTGGTCTTCAATTATCGGATCTCCTCTCTTATTGGACTTCTTAATTGGTCCCCGCTTACTGGTCTTATATGGCCGGCATTCACTTATTGGAGTTCGGTAATTGGATTTCTCCTATGGATTTCAGACTTTTATTTATAGTCTCCAGTGAACCACTACGTTCGGATCACTAGAGACTAGGGGGAGTATATGATGATGCCCAATTTAGCATTCTATTGGGCTCATGTAAATCTTTGAGATTGGATATCATTGGTGGACCATAACCCAACTTTATCATGTTTAATGGGCTCAAAATTAGGTCAAAGCCTCAAGAATATGTATGACTTATAAATAGGGTAAATTCCACTTTACCCCCTCGTACTCTGCCTAAGAGTCACTTTACCCCCTCGTACTCTCAATTTTATCGATTTACCCCCTTGTACTTGTACAATTTCCCAATACAGCCCTTTTCTTCAATTTTTGTCAATTTTGACTCTAACGCCATTTGGTCAACTCTGTAAATTACAAAATTTAACTGCCTATAACGCGTCGTTTCTCCTCCGTCAATATTGTCATTTCTTCTTCTCCCACCAGTTCCCCTTCCAAGATATCCCCAAGTTGAACCCCTAACTTAGTAAAAATCAAGACCCAAAAATTGATCGATTCCACCCAGTGCAAAGAAAAAAATATATGAATGTGTGAAACTTTCTCTTTTCTAATCTCGAGAGTCAAAATCGAAAAAATTCAATATTTACGTCAATATTTTGACTCTTGACCAAATGGCGTCAGAGTCAAAATCGAAAAAAGTTGATGAAGAGGGTTGTATTGGGAAATTGTACAAGTACAAGGGGGTAAATCGACGAAATTAAGAGTACGAGGGGGTAAAGTGGTTCTTGGGCAGAGTACAAGGGGGTAAAGTGAAATTTACCCTTATAAATACTCCATATTCTTCACCATAGAAGGTACGCTTTATTTACACACATTACACACTCCTACACACACTAAGATACACGATCAAATCACAGATCTCACATCGTCTTCTTCTCTATTTCGTTTTCCTATTATATTACTCTTTCTTGAACTATTTCCCAATTAACTTGAGCGTCAGAGGGTCTCCCCGGGGCTCAAGCCCCAGGATTTCAGGTGAACGGAGCAATATTCCGGTGATCGAGATCGGGGAAGGTGTTCGAGAAGAGCCAATGTTAATGGTGGTTAAATCGACCTCCATCAAAGTGTTACATAGAAAATAGTCCAAGGGGATAAAGTGTATTTTGCCTATAACTTTTACATTATAAGAGTAATTTTGATTTTTCTGTTTTTTAATATTTGGAATTATTTCAGAATCTCATATATATTCCATTTCCGATTAGAAATTAGAAATTCTAAATTATGAAATCCAAAATAAAAAATATTACCATAAAAATAATTTTTTTTTAATCGAACTCATCGAAATTCAAATATGGCGTGACAATTTCCATATCTTGCACCAAAAGGCGAAATCCCTCGCCCCCAGGGCCCCCATCCCTTGGCCCGACAAGGATTGATGGAGGAATGTAAATCATGGTAACTCAACGGCCCGTTAAGGTAGCGGACCCGGACCTGGTGCCCACAAGGAACCAACTCATTGGAGTTGAAATTCCCACACTGCGGCTGCCAAGATTCGATCCTAGGGCCTTGCACCAACTTACCACCTCCGGAACCAGTTGAGCTACACCCATGCGGGCACAATTTCCATATCTAAAATGAGATTACAGAGTGAAAATTGATGAGTCACAGAGTAATTCCAATATTTATTAATTTTTCATATTTCAATTTTTTATTTTCTTCTGAAAATCTCTCAACCAAAAAAATCTATCGACGTTAATTTTCGATTCATACTATAACAGAATATTTGAGGTGAATTTTATATTTGAAAGATTCTTGAATCACGTATGTCTCGAATAAGAAATGAATTGTGCTATTTCCATGTTGTTCAACACGAAACCCGGATTTTGGTTTCTCTTTAAAAAAAAAATTTAATCCCATGTTCTTTAACACGGAATTCAGGATTGCAAATAGGGATTTTGTATTGACTAACACGGAATAACCAATTTTGTTTTCTGAAAAAAACAAAAGAAATTACCTGAAAATTAGGATACTCGTCGTTCATCTGGTTTATCGTAGCTCCCAAGTTGATAAATCCGATGAAAAAAACGCAACAATTTACCAAATTGAAAAGAAGAGAATTTGTTAAATTGTTAGAGTTTTTAGAATTATATTAAAAATTACTTTGCAACCTATCAAAAGCATTTCTGGTCAATCTGGCCCCTTTCCATATTTCACGAAGTAATAATATAATTGAAAATACATAAGAAATAAAAGGGTGAATTGCATTTTGACCCCATAATTAACAATGTTTGGCTTTTTCCACCCTATCATATGTAAAAATAGTTTTTAAAACTATAACATACCATCAAGCATGAAAATTCTCTTCAAAATATCTCTTAAGGTTGATGCGGGAGTGCATTGTTCCATGAGAAATATAATTGCATGGTGGACTTTACCAATTTGAAAAATAGTAGGGGTGCAAAGCACCAATTGGGGTTAATTATGGGGTGCAAAATGCAATTCACCCGAAATAAAATGACAGTTGATTTACCCAAAAAAAAAAGAAAGGTTTAATTTTGAGGGCAAATTACCAAAACCCCGCTGAGGTAAGCCTAAATAACGAAAATCCCCCCCATGTTCTCGTAATTACGAAAACCCCCCTGAGGTATGCAGACGTCTTACAAATCGCTCTAACGGTGTTAGACTCAATAGAATCTTTTTGATTCTCCCGAATATTCCTCCCATAATACCAATTTTGCCCTTGTACACGAAATTACCCTTAGGGGGGTAATTGTAAGCATTTTATTTAATGAGGGGTCATTATGAATGTACAAAATACTTATTTTTCTTAAATTAAACCCAAATATAATCAATCATTATGAATGTACAATGTATTTTTATTGGATTAAAAAAAATCAATGAATGAGATTTCAAAATTTAATTATTTTTTATATATAAAATTAAATATTTTAAAATTCTGAGAAATACAACCATGCATCATTCACGCTAAAAGCATAAATCCGTATGATACTCCTCTGGATAAATAAATCAATTAAATATATAAATAAAAAAAATAAAAAATTATAATATCAAATTATCAATACAAATTACAAAGTAATAAATAAATTTATAAAAGCAATAAATCATCAACTGAAAGGGATGTCAGGGGGGATTTTCGTTAATTAGGCTTACCTCAGGGGGGGTTTGGTAATTTGCCCTTTATTTTTTACATATTTAACAGAAGGATATAATAGACATTTCACGTTTTCGGTTAAAAAAATTCGGTCAACCGTTAGTCAAGGGGGGTTTTCGTAATTACGAGAACATGGGGGGGATTTTCGTTATTTAGGCTTACCTCAGGGGGGTTTTCGTAATTTGCCCTTAATTTTGAGTTCGGTGGTGGTGATAACTGATAAGCGAGCACCACCGTATAATCCACAAGTACAGTAAGCTCACACACGGTGGCCGGAAAACAAAAGTCAACGAACACCGCAACCACCAATTAAACACTCACCAACCCACACCATGTCATTCTCTCTGTCTCTCTCTTCTCTCTCCACCACCACCCACCGCCGCCGACTCCACCGCCACCGCCACCGCCACTCTCCCTCCCCCTCGCTCTCCGTCAAAAACTCGACAGGAAACAAACCACCGCTGCCGCCCACCAAACCCAAATCGTGGGTGAGCCCAGACTGGCTGACCTCTCTAACGAAATCGCTATCCCCAAAAGACGATGATTCAAACATACCCATCGCCAGCGCCAAGCTTGATGACGTGTTGGACCTCCTCGGTGGGGCCCTCTTCCTTCCGCTGTTCAAATGGATGAACGAGTACGGCCCCATCTACCGCCTGGCGGCGGGGCCGAGAAACTTCGTGGTGGTCAGTGACCCCGCCATAGCCAAACACGTCTTGAGAAACTACGGCACAAAGTACAGCAAAGGGCTTGTCGCCGAGGTTTCTGAATTCTTGTTCGGCTCCGGTTTCGCCATCGCTGAGGGCTCTCTTTGGATGGTAATTCTTTAATTGTCTCTTCTCTTTTTTCTCGATTATTATATAATCCTTTGATTTGTAATTTGAATTTGGATTGCAACATTTGGTTGATCAGGATTTAGTTGTTATTTTATGGGTTTTTGGGATGATTAAATTAATCATAGGGTAATTTACCAAGAAAAAAAACCCTTCTGTTTGGGTAATTACAACCACCCCAACTATGAATCTTCTTACATACGATATGAATCTTCTTACATACAATGTGAAATTCAACAGAATCTTCTAGATTCCGTGAACTGTTTCGTTAATGTAATTTATGATGCACCAACATAGTCTTCTAGGCTATGTTTGGTAAGCTTTTGGGCTTCGGTTTCCATTTTATTTTGGATATCTCTTCGAATAAGAATTTAAAAATAAAATAAAGTTTGTTTGTGTTTTGAGAAGAGACAATTTGTAGAGTAGCCAGTCAAATCATGCCTGAAAGGTGTTGGGAAAATGTATTTTGTAAGAATAATTTGAAAGATAAAAAGTGATTTTAGTTTGTATTTTAGTAAATACATATTTTACCGTAGCATTCAAATCATGTTTGTTAGAGAGAGAATCATTTGAGTTTTTTTTAGGGAAGGTTTTGAAAATATTTTAGAAGGATGATTTTATTTTGGGGAAAGACTGAAAACAATTTCAAAACTGGTAACAAACAAAGTCCTAGATTCCGTGAAATGTTCTCTAGTTTATATTCGTTAATTCAATTTCTGATGCACTACAATCTGATATTTACAAGCTAGACACATCTTATGATCATTTCAAAATGTGGAGTTCGAATGGGGTAAATCGGGTACAAGTTAGAGAATATTCCACATAATCTAGAAGATTTCACTAAATTTGATGCCGTTAGAGTGGATACGTAAGAAGATTCATAGTTGAAGGGTGGTTGTAATTACTCAAATATGAGAGACTTTTTCGTCATTTGACCTTACCTTAAGGGTGGTTGTAATTACTCAAATATGAGCGATTTTTTCGTAATTTGACCTTACCTTAAGGGTGGCCGTAATTTACCCTTAAATAATTCAAAATGGAACTGAATTACAGTGCACTGTTATATAATTCTAAAATCTTATGTATCAGTGTATTGTTTCATCAAGGAATCACCTGGTTTTTAGGTTAAAAAATTTATGGTTATTACAGGTTTGCCACTGTTTTGAGTTTAAAAGAAAGTATGGTTATTAATATATAGGCAAGGCGCAGGGCGGTGGGTCCATCGCTTCACAAGAAGTACTTGTCCATAATGGTTGACCGGGTCTTTTGCAGATGCGCCGAGCGTCTCGTGGAGAAACTCAAGCCAGATTCACTCAATGGCTCTGCTGTAAATATGGAGGATAAATTCTCTCAGCTAACTCTCGATGTTATCGGACTAGCTTTATTCAACTACGATTTCGACTCCCTCACTGCCAATAGTCCCGTAATCGATGCAGTTTATACTGCACTGAAAGAAGCAGAGCTTCGTTCCACTGATTTATTGCCGTATTGGAAGGCAGGTTATTCTTTGAACTCATAACTTATTTTTAACGATAAGAACATTTCATTACTTGCTTGTATTTTTTTCTCGTTTGTCAGATTAATGCTCTGTGTAAAGTAGTACCGAGGCAAATTAAGGCTGAGAAGGCGGTTTCTTTAATACGAGAAACTGTGGAAGAGCTAATAGCAAAGTGCAAAGAGATTGTCGAAAGAGAAGGTGAGAGGATAAACGAGGAGGAGTATGTGAATGATGCTGATCCCAGTATTCTTCGTTTCTTGCTTGCTAGCAGAGATGAGGTATTAACATTGATTATTCGTCACGTTATTTTTCTATAAAACTCAATTCGTCACATTTTTTTGTTTTTACTTAAACAAACGGATTGATAAACATTTTTTTTGTTTTTGTTTTTAGGTTTCGAGTACGCAGCTAAGGGATGATCTTTTGTCGATGTTAGTTGCTGGTCATGAAACTACGGGTTCGGTTTTAACTTGGACGGCTTATTTGCTTAGTAAGGTATAATTTGCCATTCTCCTTCATCACTTTCGGTTTTCGATATTTTCACGCAATTGAATAATGTTTCAGAAAGTGTGATTTATTCGTTTGCTTGAGTACCATATCACGAAGCAGCAAATTCGGAGGGTAAAATGGGAAAGGAATATAATGATTGGAGTTTATTGCATTAATGCCCCTAAATCGGATCGATAATAAAATTGGATTATCGGATGGTTTATACTAATATTATTAACACTGGGGAGTTTTTTAACAATTAGACTAAACACAGGGGTACTGAATGCAATAAACTCATATTGTATATATTTGCAGGACCCGTCGTCTTTGAGACGAGCACAAGAAGAAGTGGACAGTGTTTTGCAGGGTAGGCTTCCTACATACGAGGACATAAAGAATCTCAAGTTCTTGACACGTTGCATAATGGAATCGATGCGTCTATATCCTCATCCGCCTGTAATAACTTCAACTTTAAGATATCCGTCAAATGACAAAAATGCCCTTGTTCTTTATCCGATAATCAATCAATTCACTCGAGTGTAAATTCCATTAGGTCCTCTTGAGAAGAGCTCAAGTTGCTGACGTACTACCGGGTGACTACAAGGTCAACCCTGGTCAAGATGTCATGATCTCAGTCTACAATGTTCATCACTCTGCACAGGTATTCGTTTCCTTAGAGACGGGATATTAATTAAAAATATGGGTAAATTACAACCATCCCCTGAGGTATGGTCAAATTACAAAAACTCCCCTCCTGTTTGGGTAATTGCAATCACCCCTTAACTATAAATCTTCTAACACGTCCACCCTTGCGGTTTCAAATTTAGTGAAATCTTCAAGATTATATGGAATATTCTCAATTTTGGATCTGTTTTATCCTATTCGAGCTCCACATTTTGAAGCTAGATGATCATAAGATGTGTTTTTTGGCTTGTATATATCAGATTGTGGTGCATCAGAAACAGTATTTTTGCACAAAACGAGTTCAAACTGGAGAATATTCTACGACATCTAGATGATTATGTTGAATTTGACACCATAAGGGTGGAGATGTAAGAAGATTCATAGTTGAGGGGTACATGTAATTACCCAAACAAGAGGGGTTTTTTCGTAATTTGACCATACCTCAGGGGTGGTTGTAATTTACCCTAAAAATATTAAAAATATTCGGTGATTAAATTCTCTGGTTTTGTTTTGTCAAGGTATGGGACAGAGCAGATGAATTTGTTCCGGAAAGATTCGACTTAGAAGGAGCGGTTCCTAATGAAACGAATACCGATTTTAGGTTAGCTATATACAAACATCACTAGTTTTCTATCGGAGGCCTTAATAAAGTTGTAGCTAATTTAAATAATATTGAATTGCAGATTTATCCCGTTTAGTGGAGGCCCGCGCAAATGTGTGGGAGATCAATTTGCTTTGCTCGAAGCGATTGTAGCGCTTGCAGTATTTCTACAGCATTTGAACTTCGATTTGGTTCCGGATCAAAACATCGGCATGACAACTGGTGCCACTATTCACACAGCAAATGTAATTTCTTCGATTTTTTTTTTCTCGTAACGCGATGAGGATCTTATGGAACAACCTAGTACGAGGACAACAAATAATGTATCGTTTTTTCTTGCAGGGATTATACATGAAACTGAGCCAAAGGCAAACTGCATACACTTCTGCTGCAGCAGTTCCTTAGGTACATTACATTTGTATCCATATATTTTACGGTTAAATGCATAAGTTGTGCCTATTTTATTGTAGTTTTTTGGTGACTGCACGCATATTTTTAGCGTTTGCGGGGTCGTCTCGGACTCGAAAATCACTATTTGTTGAGTGAGTTGTGAAATGATTTAGTGTATTCAAGTTATTCATTTTCTCATTTGCTCCCTCCGCGTCGGTTAAGATAAAAAAAAAATATATAATAAATAACATCCGACTTTAATATAAAGAAAGAAAATTAGTATTAAATGATCTTCTCTAATCTGACACTCTAAATTAGGATTTTTCCTAAAACTCTATGAAATTAAAAATGAAATAACATTGTCCCAGATCGGTTTTCTACAGGAAAACAACATTAAACAACACCTATAAATATGTTCTATCATTTACATAAAAATCATGTTATATTTTGCAAGCTAAAGGGTTCGTTGCTTATACTCAACAAGCAACTGATTTCTAACTTCTGCGTTGGAGTGCAATCATTGGGCCATTGCGTTGGAGTGCAATCATTGGGCCACTCCGACGTTACCTTAGACACATAGCAACAACATTCATTCTCTATTCTCATGGGTCCGGAAAGCCATGATGGATGAAATGGCAACCATGGCTGCGGCAGAGGTTGTGGCTCAATTCATCGACGCTAAATACGGTACTCCAATACCAAGAGCCGACTCTATCTAAGAGAAACCCTTCAATTTCCAATACCAAGAGCCGACTCTGTCTGAGAGAAACCCTTCAATTAACCATCAGATCGGGTCCCTCGTATGGATGCCCACCGTCCTCAACAAAGCTTTTCATCAAAATTGGCCTCTCGAAGAGATATCAATCACCGATGGCCTCATCGAAGTCTTTCCTCGGATTTGGCCCCTAAAGGAATATTCAATGACGAGCGACGCATTACACAACTTATTCTTGATGGAAGACGAACTACCCACTAGACAATATAGTACCGTTCCACCTTAAAAGATAAAGCACAACTTATTCTTGGCGAAAGACACATTTTCCACTATGCAATCAAATCAATGGATATTGCTCCACCAAAAAGTATAAAGCATTAAGTATATACTCATAAATCTCAATTAACAAAAAAAAAAAAAGATTACGTTTAAGTCAAAAGTTGAAAAGGGAAAAAAAGAAAATGTTTGAACTAAAGTGAGACAAATCTTGACTTTGCGGGCAAACGCCCACCTCGGAATCAGCCCTTTTGCGAATCGGTAGCGTATAGGTCGACCAGATCCAAAACGCTCGCATGAGTCTCTTAAGATAAAAATTGTATCACGCCTTGGGAGCCACACTCTCCAGGTGTCCGGGTTTTAAAGCTTGCGTTCTATGAGCGCTCTATCGCAATAAGTTGGCGTTTCAGACATCGCATTTCTGAGTCAACCCGCTCCGCAGGAAGTCGCGCTCCGCCACCATAAGTTGACTCACGGGTCACGTCATTCCAAGTCACGAATCTCCCCGTTCAACAATTTTATAAATTTTCTAAGTAAAATGGCAAAATTGTCCAAATCGGGAAAAATCCCCTTTACGTTGATGTCGACGATGCGAGAACACGATGGCAAAAAAGCTATGACAAATTAACAAAAAAATTACAAAAAGAAAAAAGATTGAAACATTACTGGTAAACATGAAACGGGATTTAGCATTTCAAATATATTAAATTATCTTTTGAATAATGTAGCATTGAGTTATCTCCAAATTGTTTCACAATTTAGTTATTTAGTTAGTACCTCGAAAGATCTAGATCTCAATTTTATCATTTGACTTTAAACACCACATTATTGATGCAAAATACATAATCTTAGAAAATCAAAATCTGTACAACTAATTAATTATACTATTAGTTATAAAGATTAATTCTCTGGTCCAACTAATTAATTATACTATTAGTTATAAAAATTCATTCTTACAGCATAACTAGTACCTCACGGGGATTATTATAAGATCAAAATGCATTAATATAAAAAATCAGCAAATTAAAAAAAAAAAGTCTAAGTATGTAGATCTGAATACAACCAAAATATTAACAAATTCGTATCACATTTTTTAGTATAAAGAATCGTACATAAATGTAATTTGACAACATTGTAAACATAATCAACGCCAAAATATCACAACCAACTCGAAGAATGCAATTGAATTAATCCACCAATCTTACACATTTAGCTTTCAGTTGATAGAAACGTAACTTGATACGACCAAATCTACAATTATAGAATGAATAAACTTTTATTAGCTAGTATTGTCACCACATGTTCAATGCATGTGTTAACCACAAATTTTTCCATCTGCAAAATATAATAAAATATAGGAAACAAATAAATTTATTATCAAACAAAAACAGATTACAATCTCGGTGAATTCCCCTGATTCTTCTATCTTATTCTAGATTTGATTCAAGAGCTTTAAAGCTTGTTTTTGAATCGAACGAATGATTTCCTATCACGAACACCTCGAATTCAAATATGTTATGAATTCGAGGCAGAGACTCGAGACGTGAGCTTGAGAGCTCGATATGTGTCTTTTTGAGTCTGATTTTTAGATATACCAAAGACTTCTTTTATAGGCACAAGCTAGGATTAGGGTTTCTCGGGCTTGCAACATGGACCAGACATTTTAAAGTCCAAATATGTTATGGACTTTAATTTAAGACACAATTTAATAATCGATTTATTGGATTATTAATCGGTGATTTATCTCAAAATTTCGATGTCTACAAATGCCCCCACTTCTAGTCTCGGCGAAGAGCATGTCAAATTGTGAGGCGAGACTTGAAGTATTCCATGATTTCTTTATTTTTTTCGGTATTTTTTTTAGGGCTCAATTTGAGATTTCTTTTGCTTGTGGGGACTTCTTCAAATTTTCCTTCTTTTGTTTCTTCCAAGGGCTCATTTCCAAATTGACTTTTATCCGTCAATTTGGGATCATC